TTTTTTTTTGTGCATTTATTGTTATATGGAGTTATACGCAGTTTGCAGTGAATTGAAATAATAATATTATTGTTAAAGAAATCAAAATTTCATTTTTTATAGCATTTTAATATGTTACATAATATGTATTTGTTTTTTTTCCAGATATAATAATGATATTAATCAATGAAAATAAGATGATTTAGTGAAGTATGATAAGAAAATAGTCGTTGTTGTATTTTGAATTAAATTGTTCTAGATATTTTGATATTCGACAATCATTTTCATGTAATTTGTAATGGTGATAATTGACAATGAATTATTGTTTAATATTATTCTATCTTATATTATCTATTACTCAATATACAAATTGTATTGATTTAAATACTGGTTTTACCGATGCATTGACATTAGAAGAATATGAAGATGATGTTGAATTGATAAAGCTTCGTTTTGATTCAACACGACCATGTCGATTTTTTTGTAAGTTATTATTTTGAATAAAGAAAAAAGAAGTCAATATTCATATTTCTAGCTGATGATCGTTATCCAAAAGTTGAAGAAGGTTTAGCTAATTGTTCATGGTATGAAAAAGATGCATGTTGTAAACGAACTGAAGTAGCAAGTGTTTTTGAATCAATGTATACATTACATCAAGCATCAACACAATGCCGAAATATGATGAATTATCTTATGTGTTTTTTCTGTGCACCTGATCAATATTTATGGTATATTAAAAAACGTGTTAAGATTTGTGAAACATTTTGTAATGAATTCTATCAACATTGTAAAACAGCTGAATTTAGTGGAAATACTATTGGTATGTGTAATTAATATTTATGCTTTTTGAAAGAATATTCTTATCCATTATTAATTATTAGGTACACTTTATAAATCAGGTTTGCAATTTTGTGAAGCGAATAATTTTAATGTAGTTACAAATGATTGTTTTGCGTTTGATGCAAGTGTCTTCTCATCAGCATCATATTTATTTCAGTCAACGATATTTATTTTTAATCTTGTCAAGTTATGTCTAGTCATAATATTTGTATTTACAGTAGTAAATTATTTTTGATGTTTTTAATATCAGATAAATTTTTCCTTTTCCATGTGTAATAGCATTCCTTGTTTTTTTAAATAAATGTATTAGACAGTATTTTTATCAATTAGTTGAAGTTTATTGAATATATCCTATGAAAGAAAACATGGTGTTTGATCACTTATCTTCAACGAGCCTTATGATAATGAACTAACATGCGAATTAGGACCATACTGTCTGCCTGACTTTTTATTGAAAACAAATATCATCAGATTAAAATTTACATATGAATTTTATTTTACGAATTTTCGATATGAAAAAATGATGAAATTCATAGTGAAAGAATCTTTTTGCCTAGTTCTCAAGATGAACGACACATAATGTCTTTGTATATATGTATATAAATCAACGTTTGTACGTTATGCATTTATTTTTGGACGAGAATAAATAACGGCTTTTAATAGTCTTTGATTAAGTGAATAAAAAATAATCGTTTCAAGCAACGATTACAGATTTCATGCCGTCGTAATGTAAGTAAAAATATTTAATAATGAAAATACACTTGTTGTTTCATATTAGTATAACAAATTGTGATTGGTTTTAGCGTTTAAAACATCATGATTTGATGAAAAATGGATTATGAATAATTTTAAACGTTAAATGTGAACAAAATGGATCCTGTAATATATCTGTAATGTTCTTTTTCTTCTTCTAACGAATGCATTAGACTCAAGAGAAAAAAAGAGCTAGTCAAGATTCCATCTACAACAATATTTAGATTATTTTTTCAGACAAGATCTTCTGCTAATGTTTAAACTCATTCAATTCAGTGAGAACTAATATCTAACCATTTCATAATCTATTTTAAATAAAAATAATCTTATTTAAAAAAAACGAATAATAGTAGAATAGAACTAACAACTTCTAATAGATCCTTATTATTAATCCATCGTTGAACAGACATTTTTTTCCATTTTTATGATGTGCTTTTTGTATCCATTTACCATCTTCGAATGTAGTAGTCATGCTCAAATTCAATTCCTGATATAAATTCAAAAGATGTTGTTTTCACTTTTGTTTCCGATCTAAATGATCATTTTAGCTATTGTGCGTATTACTTTATTAATTTCGAATTCTTTTAAAAGCTTATCAAAATTAGTTCCACTTGTCTAAATATATTTATAGGTATTTCATTTTTAATCGATTTATTCATGAGCTTACACAGTCTCAAATACCTTTCAAGGCTTCCATATTATTATTGTTATTATGACTAGTCATTCTTATTATAAATAACAGATTTGAATGTACTTATATGATGGTATTTTACACAACGAGTATGTACAAGAACAACTTGAATAAGAACGGGTATATTATTTTTTCTTAAATAGACATGTCCATAATTATAAATATTTTTTCTTTTTCGCATCATTACACAATGATAATGACACACATGAAAAAATATTTGAGATCGAATAATTATTCATCAATAAAATTAACCTAAAACCAACTATTTTATTATTTCACTAAACTGAAGAAAATTAAGTATTGGTTTTTTATTAAATAAAATTAAAAATTATTCACACATTTCTATAAATCAAATCAATAACAAAACAATCGAATATATTTGATCATACATTTATATTCTTGAATAAAATCATTTGTAAAGAACAACTGATCTATCAGATTTAAAACGATTTTAGTTGATCTCTATTATCTCTGTTAGTAATAATTCTGCATATGAGATCGAACAAAATTTATCGTCAGAGGCAGATCATTCTAATATCAAACTGCCAGCTTTGTTTTTGAAAAAGAAATGAAATATATAGGCAAGATTAAGTGCTAAATTATGTAAATTAACAAAAATAGTCGATGCACCTTCCCTGAATGAATCTTATGTGAGTATGCATGAAGATCGAAGAAACACTCATACCCACATTCTTTTATTTCCTCTAAGTCAGATCAATCATCAAAACCAAAACAATTTTAAGGACATGAATATATTTAAAACTTTTTGAATACATAAACTAAAATCATTCACTGAAAAAACGCTATTTTCTTTATTAATATGACAAAAAAGAGACATGGATTCTGAAAATCTAATGGCCTGGTTAAATGAAAAGAAAATCAAGTTTATTTAATATGCCAGTTTATTTGCCTGTTTTAATTTCCATACATTCATCTGGACGAAAACTTTTTTTAACACAGACGTTCGGTGCACAACAAGGGTTTATTCCAAATTTACATTTAACACAATTCTTGCCAGCGGTATGAAGTTCACGTCTATCAAATGCTGTTAAATCATCATCATCATCACCCATCATTGAACGAAGAAACATACGAGCTCTCTTATCTGTTAATTCCATATCATTATCATTATCATAAAATAAACGTTTAGCATCTAATGATGATATAACACAGAGTGCAGCAAAAATGGCCAAAATAATAGTTGTCTTCATATTAATTTTTACGAAAAAGAGTTTAATTCTGTATTCTGATAGAAATTGTCGGTGTATTTATACAAGTATTTGCTCTATCATAGCAATTATCAAATATTTAACTGAGAAAAGATGAAGGAACAAAAATTTATGATCGAATCAGACGTATTTTTTCTTTACATCATGATTATGAATTATATCGATAAATAAATACAA